GGCAGCCGACCGAGCGCGTGGACTTCACAGTGACACTTGACGGCTGTGACCGGGAGCGGACTCTCACACACGGGCCCCGGGCAGGGGTGGCTCGGGGCCTCTGGCCATGGCTACAGGTTCAGCAGAAGGTCTGCAGCTGAGTGTAATGGCGAAGTGAAGAAAGGCCACTGACTGACCTCCGCTTTCCCGTCTTTAAGATTCTAGTGACACTGGGACTGAAACACAACTTCCTACGAGTCTCCTAAGGTCCTAGGGCACAGGCTCGACACGGAGGCTGCGTCCGAGCTGCACGGGACACCAGCATCCGCAGGGCCCCACGCGCCTTCGCGGCTGCTGCTGGGCGGGGGAGGCTGGTGCTGGTCCTTCGTGTGCAAACGGAATGGCGCTGTCCCCCAGCAGTGCGGGTGAGCGGGCCGGGCCTACCACCACCAACCATGCGGCATAAAACTGATCATTATTATAATAAAGATTTTTATCTCCATATCTACAACTTGAGTCTGCATTTCCTCGGACAACACTGGAGGGTCAGCTCAGTCTTGGCACTGGACTGGGGGCCACGCCCAGCGCCCTGGCCCCGTGCTGGTGAGGCGGGAGGCCGGTGGCTTCAGGCATCGTAGGCTGGCTGCTCCAGGCCTTCAAGAGGGAGCTGGCTCCTATGCGGTGAGTTGGGGCTGGGGGGGCCACTGGGGTTGGAGCTGTTCGATGGAGTCGAGTGTTTGGTCGAATCGGAGTCAGGCTGTTAACACAAGGAGGGGAGAGCATAAGAACCAACTGCCCTGGGCCGGTGGAGGCTACGTGCGGCCGGCCAGACGCGGGCGTTGGGGCAAAGATGGGGCAGCTACTGTCTCCTTTCTGGTTATGACAACTCTCTCTACGAGCATTTCACAGGGTCCTTGAGCTTGCCGGTGAAGACATTACAAACCATAGCCCAACCCGAAAGCCACAAATACCTCAGTAATTATAGTTATAAGGAGGAACGAGCAACTCTACAGTGAAGAAACCAGTCAGACAAGGCAGTCTTTCACGATAAAGTCTCGCAACATGATAAAGCATGTCCATGAAAACCCCACAGCTCACTTCGTACTGAAGGGTGCAAGTCACAACTTTCCCGCTGGACGAGGCACCAACGAGAGGCGAGCTCTCACCACTGCTGTTCAACACTGTACTGAAGTTCAACACCGGAATAAATTTAACCGGAGGTGAAACATCTGGACACAAACTAGAGAACATTGCTGACAGAAATTAAAGATGGCCTAAATAAACAGAACGACATCTCATGTTCATGGATCGGAAGACCAAACATCATTACGATGGCAATACTAACCCCCCCGCAGCAATCCACAGACTCAATGCCGTCCCTACTGAAATTCCAACAGCTCTTCTTTCCAGAAATGGGAAATGGAAATCCTCAAATTCATATGGAATTGCAAGGGGCCCAGAGTAGTCAAAACAGTACTACGAAAAAACTGGGAGGAATCACACTTCCCAAGCTTACTCCTTCAAATGTACTAAAAAGCAACAGTTCCCCAAACAGCACGGTGTGCATGAGAACAGAGACCAGTGGAACAGAACCGAGAGTCTAGAAATAAATCTATACTACCATGGTCAACTGGTTTTTGACAAGGGTGCCAAGACTATTCAACAAGGGAAACTAGTGCTGGATATCCACATGTGGAAGAATTAAGTGGAATCTCCACCTTACGACATACGGAAAAATAATTCAGATCAATGACCTAAATATGAAGGCTAAAACTGTAAAACTCTTCAAAAAAAACAAAACAAATCTTCATGACTTTGGCTTCAGCAATGAATTCTTAGATATGACCTCAAAAGCACAACCAACAAAAGAAGAAAAACTGGCTATCACCCAAATTAAAGTATCAAAGGACACGATCAAGAAGGTGAAAACACAACCCACAAAATGGGAGAAAGTATTTGCACCTCACATCAGGGTCAAGTATCCAGATGACATAACATACTCTTCAACCCAATAACAAAAGACAACTCAATTTACAAAAACGGACAAATAACTAGATACTTCTCCAAAGGTACAGAAGTCACCAAGCAGCACAGGAAAATGATGCTTGACATCACCAGTCATTAGGGAAATGCAAATCAAAACCACAATGAGGTACGGTAACTTCACACCCACCAGGATGGCTATTAAAAAAAAAAAAGGAAAAGAAGAGTAAGCGTTGACAAGGATATGGAGAAATCGTCACCTTCATGCTTTGCTGGGGGAGTGTAAAATGGTACAGCTGTCGTGGAAAACAATTTGATGGTTCCTCAAAAAGTTAAACATGTTCCACGGCTAGGTACATACCCAGACGTGAGGACAGGCGTTCGCACGAATGCAGGTGCGCACACATTCATTTCCGCACAGAGCTCAATCCAGCCCCACCCCCCATGCCCACCAAGGGATAAGGGGGACGTAAAATGTGGTACATCTGTACAATGGAATATTTGGCAACAGAAAAGAACCTACTGACTGACACCTGCTACACTGTGAATGAATCTTGAAGACCTTATGCTAAGTGAAACAGGCCAGACACAGAAGGCCGCGTGGAAGGTCCGTGACAGGTAAATCCAGAGACAGAACGAAGATCTGGCGTTGCCATGGGCTGGGGGAAGGGAGGAATGGGAGAAACTGCTTGGGGGGGGGCGGGGGCGTCTCTGGGGTGATGGAAGTACTTTCATCTTTAGCTGGGGGTTGCACAACTCCGTGAATTTACTTAAGAGCCACTGAATTGTTCACTTTACAATGGCGTGAACTCCACTTACATTCTTTCAAGAATGTGAACACACAAGATCAGTGCAGGACAAACGGGTGCTCTGTGCCTCAGAATGTACTAGCCCGAGGATACCGCGTCCTCTGTGTGGTACTCCAGCCTGGGACTGCTAACCTGAACCCCGAGACACGGGAATGTTGGAAAGACGGAGGACCTGCTCCAGGGGCAAGGAGCCTGAAGCGATGTGGTGAGACCGGGGGCTGGGGTAACAGAAGGAAGTGTGCCAGGCACAGCGCGGACCACTGCCGGAGGCACCATGGTCACACGGGACGAGAACCCTATCCCTGCTCTTGGGGCAGGGGGCCTGGTCTAACCCACCCACTGATACGGTTCAGGAAAAGTATGTGTGCACACACATACTTCCATGCACTTATATGCTGGTCCCTGAGGGGGGGGAGCGCTAGGGGGACTTTTCACTGTTCTCCGATTCAAAATCTCAGACAAGCCTTGATTGAGGGACATTCTGCAAAAGAACTGTACTTTTCATAACAAATTCAATATCATGAGAGAGAAAAAAGGCTGGACTCAGACTAGAGCCAGGACTACGGAATGCAATGTGTTATCCTTAACTGGATTCTGGGTTTAAGAACAGCCGGGCCCTGGGCATGAACAGTCCCTGGGAGGACACTGAGGCACGACGTGAGCCCTGTGACCAGGGAGGAGGCACCTGCACCCTCAGGAGACACGCACAGAACGGGATTCGGGGCTGTCGTGATGTTGCACCTTCCTTTCTGCTGGGTGTTCCCCACACACCAAACAGGGAGAACTAGGTTAGATCAAGCTCACATGGGATGTTCACTCTAGTATTCTTGCAATTTTTCTGGAGGTTCGAAATTTTCAAAATACACAGTTGAGGGAAAAAAAGTAAAATAAGAGAAATAAACCAAGACCTAAAACCAAGACCTCCCTCTAGAGTCGTCAATCTTAGGCAGTTTTAAGAATATTCTATGAAACCTTCCTGGAAAGAAAATTGATATATCACGGCTACTAAAATATGCAAACTCCCTCAGTCAGAGTTGAGGCTAGGACAGCTCTGAGGACAAAGGTGGCCAAGGACAGCACAGGACACAAACTTTACTGATGAACACTGTCAATAAAATGATCCCAGACTGCATCTATTCGAAATAAGAACAGCACATCACGACCACGGAGGATTTACTCTCAGGAGGCAAGGCCATCAGCTCCGACACGAACAGGCGAGAGAGAAATCCCATGAAGGTGGTCACCGGGGACACCTTTGATGAAAGCCTCTGACTAGTATCTATCACCCCTTCCTTACTGAAAAAGCTCTTCCCGAGCTTGGAAGAGAAAACCACTTGCTTAGCTCGGTGAGACGCTCACCAGAAAGGACAGGTGGCGTGAGTCTTACTGGAGCCCGGGCGGGGACCCGAGCCCATAGTGTCGGCAGGCCAAACCTCCGCTCTCAGGAGCACCGGCCAGTGCACTGAGCGAGGCCCAACACCAGCCTCTGCAGCCCACCCGCCCCCTCCCCCGGCCCCGGGTCAGAGAGACTGAACTCCAAGGCCACCAACCAAACACGGGTGCTAATCAGAATTCAGCAAGGTCGCGGGACAGTCCAAAGTCGCCAGCTTGTATAGACCCCAGCCGTAACCACCAGATACGTAAAGGAAGATTATAGTACCTTCACAATGGCAACAAACCCCTTCAAATTCGTAAGAATAACTTACCACAAATGTGCACTACCTGTAGGAGGGAAACCATCAACTGGAAAGACACTCGATGTTCCCACACAGGAAAGGTCAAGACGGTGAATATCCTCCAAATTAATCTATGAATTCAATGTAATCCCAATGAAAAGCTCAACACATTTTTTACTTTTTTACTGTGAAGCCAACAAGCTGGTTTTAAAATTTATTTGGAGTGGGGTGCGTGGCTGGCTCAGTTGGAAGAGCATGTGACTCTTGATCCCAGGGTCATGGGTTCAAGCTCCACATTGGGTGTAGATGTTACTTAATAAATACACTTAAGAGAGGGCGCCTGGGTGGCTCAGATGGTTAAGCGTCTGCCTTCGGCTCAGGTCATGATCCCAGAGTCCTGGGATCGAGCCCCGCATCGGGCTCCCTGCTCGGCAGGAAGCCTGCTCTCCCCCTGCTTGTGGTCTTTCTCTCTGGCAAATAAATAAATAAAATCTTTAAAAAAATAATTTAACATTTAAAAAGCATATATTCTGGGCGCCTGGGTGGCTCAGTCATTAAGCGTCTGCCTTCAGCTCAGGTTGTGATCCCAGGGTCCTGGGATCGAGTCCCGCGTCGGGCTCCCTGCTCGGCGGGAAGCCTGCTCTCCCCCTCCCACTCCCCCGGCTTGTGTTCCTGCTCTCGCTGTCTCTTTCAGGTGGATAAATAAAATCTTTAAAAAAAAAAATACACTTAAGAGAAATAAAATTTATTTGCAGAAAATAAAAACAGCTAAGAAACTGTCATAAAGGAGGAACAAGGAGATCTGCTACAGGCGGCACTGACAGGAAAAGAATGCATCCACTTAGACGGACTGTCCAGAAATAGAAACACCTGAACAAAGGAGTTTAACATATAAAAAAGACATTTCAAGTTGGAGGGAAATAGATGGCACGGGCCAGGGGGTCATCCACCTCCAAAATAAGCTCAGGTCCTTGCCTACAAACATGCACTGAGTCAGGACAGTCTCTCTCACAGACAAACGTCACGAAGGCATGACACACAGAAAGGAAACCTCGCCAAACTCCTGAGAAGACTACAAGAAAACGTCTGTTTACCTTAGCTAAAAAAGACAGACTGGACTGCGTGAGAATTAGTATCTGCAACAGACTGTGTTCACAGTGAGACGAGAGCTTCTAGGAATCAGTGAGGGGGTGAAGGTGTGCAGCCGGGCCCTGGAGGAAGAAACGCTCAGCCCACGTTTGGAATGACCGTGGAGCTTGGAGAGTCAGCAACATGTGCAGTAAGACCTGTGTTTGCCTTACCCGTTCCGCCCCGGGTGGAGTTCCCGGGGAGCCAGAGGGCAGGGTGTTGGGCTCCCGCACTGTCCCCACTCCCTTCTCTCTCAGATGCGCGCCTCAGCGTGCACAAGAATGCTGCCCACCACGGCGGGGTCCGGAATGCCTGAAGAACACCCGAGCCATGCTGGCCCCGCACACCCCGATCCTGAACGGCCATCAGAGGAACGGGGGACAGAGACCGTTGTGGAAGGCTCTCCAAGATGCACCAGGCCACCTGTGCGCTAAAATGAACGCACCAACCAGTATGTGACATCTGAATACGGAGAAGTACACAGAGTAGTCTAGAAGCACTCAGGTCCGCCCATCACCAGGCTGCTCTTCGTTCTGCAGTGGCGACCAAGCTGCACCCTGGCCCTCTTTCCCGGGCCTGCTGGGCCCCACGTGGTGATTCCAGGGCGGGCGAAGCCGCTGTCACCACTCTGATTCTCCTCCAACACGAGGAGCTGCAGACGCTCAGGTGGCGTCCCCGGAACGAGGCAAGTCTTACCTCTTTGTCAAAGTCCTGGTCGGGGTCGGACATACTCCTAAGAGGCACGGCCACTCCGGGCTCCAAGCCACCTACGGGACAAGGACGCTGTCATCTTAGGGAAAAGAGGCCAGAGCCTCAGCAGGCCGGGCCCCCACCCTCGGACACCCTGGTACCTGACGAGGGCCACGAGATGTAGGGCTTATTCCTGGGCGGAGGCTGCCGGGACAAGCTGGGGGGAGCAGGGCCAGGCCTCTCCTCCTGGGAGGGGGGTACGGCACTCTGGGTGGAGAGAAGGGCAGTGAGCAGGCTCTGGGGCGCCCAGGCAGACCCCGGCCCAGCAGGTCAGCCACCTGCAAAGTGGGCACCACAGAACACAGCCGGGGTCCTGGGACCTCGCTCCCTAGACAGGGGCGCCAGGCCAATTCTGAGCTAAGAATTGGCAATAACGGTTTTAGTCAAATCCTAGCTCATGTTTTTAAGTGAAAAATTATGCTACCTGCTTGTATGAAGATGTTCCTAAGAAATCCTTTTTGACAGCTACTTTCCTCACAAAACACTAACAGCCTGAAACGGTGACAGACACCAAGCCAGTGTGAACGCCCTGGTGTTCAGAGACACACAAATGAACACACAGCCGCTGGGAGCGGCCGCCGTGAAGGAGAGACCGCAGGGCAGCGGCTCCGGTCTGCGCCGCCCCTGGGCAGGTGGGT